CAGTCCCCCACCCATCCCACCACCTGCTTCTCCCACTTCCCACCTCACAGCCCCCGGCTTCTCCCACTTAGCAGTCTTGGCTACGTGGGTACAATTAGAACGAAGACAGTTACCTTCTTCAGGGTAGCACCTGGGGGTGCCGCTGGAGCCCAAGATCAGGTTGCCATCTTCATCGTTCTGTTGTAGGGTCCCAGGCGGACAGGTAGGCACTGGGGGGGTGGTGGTTGTTTTCCTAATGGTCCTGGGGGTGGTCAGGCGGCGGGCATTGAAGGTGCGGCCAGTGGTGGTGGTGGTGGTGGACAGTGGGGTGGAGGTGGTGGGCTTGCGGGTAGTCGTGGTGGTCGGTTTTGGGGTAGTTGTGGTGGGCTTTCGGGTAGTCGTGGTGGTGGGCTTGCGGGTAGTTGTGGTGGTCGGTTTTGGGGTAGTCGTGGTGGTCGGTTTTGGAGTAGTCGTGGTGGTCGGTTTTGGGGTAGTCGTGGTGGTCGGTTTTGGGGTAGTTGTGGTGGTGGTGGGTCTTGCGGTGGTGGGTCTTGCGGTGGTGGTGGGAGCACGGGTGGTTGTCTTGACAACTTCCAAGCCCACCAGGGGCTTCCCTCCCAGGCTCAAAATGGGTTTATCCTGGGCACTGGCCACAGGTTTGCCATGACGCCCCTGCCCAAAGAGGGGGAGGCCGTCAGGGCTCACCACAGGGGTCCCTCCCAGATCTGAAAACAAAACCAGACAGAATCTGTGCAACCAAGATGAAACAAGGCAGATGAGACAAATAGGAAGTGGAAGGTGTCTTCTCGAAGTTTAACTTTTACTCAGTAAAAGGAATAATCAAAAGGATCCCAGCTGCAGTAGTGAGCTCTGCCGCTCTCTGCAAGTTCTGGGCTCATCATTCGGTCCATCACGCTGGACATTTCTCAGGTAAGGGTGTGACTACTTCCTCACTCTCAAATAACTCTCGGTCTCTGGTAAGGAAAGTACTTCCATGCTTCTCTTCATCCCAGCACCTCAGGGAGAAAACTGTTACTTTGGGCCAAGGGCAGAAAACTTTCTGTCAGAGAGTAAGCATTTTAAGTTTTATGTTGCATCCACTCAGCTCTGCTAGTGTAGGGCAAAACCAGTGACTTTCAAATTTCCGACTTTGTTTATAGACCTTGTAATGTGAATTTCATATCACTTTCACATGTCACAAAGTATTATTGCACCAATTTTTATTGCAAACATTTACAAATGTATGAACTATTCTGAGTTCAGAGGAGGCCCTAAAAAGACTGCAGACAGGGGGTGGCCTGAAGGCTGAGGTTTGGGGGGGTCTCTGCTCTAGGCTCCCGCATTCAGGAGTAGAGCAGAGGGCTACCTTTTCCAGGGTGAGAAGTCTGCAGGAAGAGAGTGACTAGAGTTATTTAGGGAAAAACAAAGTTCTTCCCCTTTTGAGGTGCTCCTTTCCAGGTGACTCAAAGGAAGTGAGTAAGGGTACCCGGTAAAAATGAGGGGAGAAGAGAGAAATGGCCACTTTAGAGCTAATCCACGACTTCTGTTCCTCGAAAACCTCTTACTTACCCACGATGGTCCGACCATCTCCTCCCAGCTTAACCCGCAGAGGGTTTCCATGGGAATCTTGGAGGAACCTTCCTTCTGCGTTCAATACTAACCCACGATCGAGATCCACCACCTAAATCCATGACATAGATTAAAGAATATAATGGACATTTTGAAACATTCACATTAACCCAACTGCATGTATCTTACACAGGAAGCTTCCGCAGAAGGAAACCATTATGAGTGGAAATGTGACTTCTGTCAGAATCATTCTAAGTTTTAATAAGAATAAAGTGCAAAACAGTCATATTCATATTAAAATTGCTTACCTATATTCATGAAAGTTATTTCCTAAATTCCTCAAAATGCAATAAATGTTCAAATACTTTCCACATTTAGTATGTTATGTCTAATGTAGGAAAGTAGGAAACAAATGTACATCTATGGAAGGACTTTAAAAAGCATGACTTATCTACGCAGTGGAATGCTATACAGCCAGGAAAAGGATCTGGAAATCTTCATATTTTGACATATGTTGATGTAAAAACTCATTAGTTTGCAAAATTAAAAATCTATTCACTTGTATCTAGAAGTTTAAAATGACAGAGAAAAAAATGTAGATGGATACATGCCAAATGGGTTATGTCTCTGAGAAACGGATGGGGTTTATCATCTCTTTTATATGTATCTGAATGGTTTTAACTTCAAGAAATGAATATATATTGCTAGTGTGTTAAAAATATGAAGTGGCTCCATTTTTATGTTAATGGTAAAAATTAACATTGCTGTAAGAAAGCAATATAAGAAAGAACCTAATTTGTAACTAAATTGCCTAATGTAATAACATACAAAGAGTTCAAATTTTAAGGAATTTTGAAAGTCTGAAAAAGCTGTCATGGTCTCTGTGAAGGAGTAAGCCCATGCTATCCCCAAGTAGTCCTTAACGTGTGGCTCTGGACCAGCAGCCTCTGTGTCCCCTAAGGACGTGTTGGACTATGAATGACCTGGCCCCTCTGTCATCACCAAGGTCCCCAGGGACATTGCTGAGCTATGCCATCTGTCTGCCAGCCCCCGGGGACGGAGGTCCCCGTGAGCACCCCCTTTGCTGGGTGTTCTTCGGGTAATTAAATTTTATATGAATCGTCCTTTTGAAGTCAGCTCAAAACTGCTATCCATGCTATCTTGCTTTAATGTGAACTCTTCCTGTTATTAATATCTGTTCCTTTGAGAAGTGATAAAATGCATCTTTAGGTCACCTGTGACTGAACATTTCATGAAATCCCTAATTGTTTTCCTAATCAATTAGGGTGAGTAAATGGTGAGTTTGGGCTGGGAATTCCACTGTGAAGGATCTTACTCTTTGAAGAAAATATTTTAAAGCTTGAACATTGTCAAGTATTTTACCCATTACACTGGGCCCACCCACACATCCCTGGATGTTTATGTTGACTGCAGACAGTGAAGTGGCTTATTTAAAATCCACACAGTACTAATACTTTTTTTATTTTAGCTGAACAACTACCACTGGAAGATTCTAAAGGTGATCTAATAAAAGGTGACTATTTGATTCAGGACTTTTTTGGTCTGCTCATTGCATTCCTCCTACTTCCGTTTACAAAATATTGAATGCAGTTTATGGAAAATCAAATAATAAATGAAAAATAAGGATAAAATAAAGCTATCAGGAGTGGAAAATAAAAGTTCACTTGAGGCCTTGTCCAAGCCCCTTTGTGTGACTTTCTACCTAGTCAAGAAATAAAGGTCAGCTCTGATCATTGTGGCTCTGAGGAAAAAGCAAACTACTCACTTCAGAGAACCAAGATTTTTCTGAGCACTGGAAGAGACTATAGACAGACATATTAACATAGGAATGGTTAACACTAGAGAAAAAGAAGAAGAAGATCCCTTTATTGTTACCATTTTTCTCTTCCCAACCGCAGAAAATAACTGGTATGTGTAAAGAAGTTCACCCTACCCACTTTGTTCCTTGAGGGCCATTGATAATTCTTTGTCCATTCGGTTTTCCATTACTATCAGGAAGTACCTTCCCTTCTACATTGGGTCTGCCATTATAACCTACACAGTACCAAAAAGATAATACAACCTGGTAAATTCAACATTCCGGGAAAGTTGGCTTCAAACAATAAATAAAAAATAAAAAGAAATCCTCAGGAATGGAAACGAGAAGTTCATTTGAGAAGCCGCTTAGACAGACAGCAAAGAGCAAGAAGTCGCTTCCCAGAAAAACACTAAACAGAATTTTAAACCAACCGCTTGTATTTCATTGAGTCTTAACTTGGGGCTTCTAATGACAGGTGGGAATATCTCTTAAGAATCTGGTAAAATCATTTCTGATGATATTGGGGGAGTAAGCGTTCAGGGTAAGCATGTTTTCCAGATAAAGCTTGAGATTGTAATGGCTGTAGCTTTGTTTTAGTCATCTGGAAGTTGGAGGGAGGGAGATTTGGAAAGATTGGGGAAAATCATGGCTAAAACATTCTAGAAGCTTCTCTGCTCATCTCAGTCAGTTATATCTTTGATACCACAATTATTTCTGCCTGACTCAGGTCCCAACCATTAATCGCTGAGTATAAATACACAGAGTGCGTTCAAAGCTTGCTGACCTCTTAGGCTGTGAGATTACTCTTCTGAGAGGAAGCAGAAGTTCTAGCTAGTTCCCTTGGGCTGCTGCTTCTGTGTGCTCTTTCGCCTTCCTTGCAAGCCCTTTTCCATCTGCAGCCTTCCTAGGAGGGTCCAGCCCTTCCATCTGGGCTGGTTCTCCTGGGAGGTAGTGCTGAGACCTTCTGACAACTATTTGCTGACCAGAGACTTCTCCAGTTCAACTATTCAGTGAAAACCAAGCATGTACATACTTTCTACTAGGCCCAAGGGAATGTGGGTTTTACATCTATAATCAGGGCCTTAGACTTGCTTAAAGTGGTGAGCTTTTAAGGGAAACTGGCCTCCGGATGGAGACTGCTCTAGCCTGAGTCGGAGGGCTGGCGTGACAATACAGGTTGTATAGGTTGACAGATACAAATAGTCCTTCAAGGACACACATCAAGTCTGCATTCCATGCAGACTGCAAGGTGATCCTTGGGGGGCACAGAAAGAACATCCCCGCAATCCAGGCAGGATGTGGGGGTGCTGTCCCCTTATACTCCAGTTCATAGCTGAGTCCTGTCCTCGCTGTACATCACAGATCTGCCGCATCTGTGTGGCCATCGCCTACCACGCCTTTTCTGGAGGTTTTGAAACAGCTCACTGACTGCCTGGACTTGCGCCTGGGTGTGTTCATTTGAGCTTTACTCAAACAAGAGCAAGATGGAGCCCAGCAGTTTCTGGCTGCTTGCTGAGGACTCCTTAAATAGCCCCTGGCATACCAGCAACTAAAAATAACCTACAACACAGGAACCTAGAGTTTGGCATCCTGGCCCGGGACACATTTCCACAGATTCAGAGCAGATGTGAGTGGATTCAGCAAGGAGCAGGGCGGAGGGGAGTGCCCGGTGGGTGGGAGGCTGGACCTGGGCAGTGCAGGGGCTCCTTGGTGCTCTGAGCTCCGGCAAGCCAACCCGATCCCTGAACTCCAGCTTCCTGGTCCTAAAACCCCCACCAGCAAGGACAGCTCTGGAGGGCGCTTGCAGGAGATTCACCCAGCCACCTTTGTAAGCCCTAACACAAGTGCTTGTAACAGATGGCGCACTAACATTTTTCAAAAGCCTCCGGGGATTACCGGGAACTACTGAGAACCAGGGGGAGAAAGGAAGTTAAAAGCCAGTTACCTTGTCGGAGAGGAGGTTTCACCGGTGCCCGCGACAGAGGGTTCCGGAACCGCGAGTTCATCATGCGCTGGCGCAGCGACAGCATCGGGGTGGTGGAGGAAAAGAGCTGGGGCGCGCGGGTGGTGTACCCCGGGCGGGCCGGGGTGCCCGCGGCCGGACTCGGGGAGGCAGGACTGCGAGTGGGCTGTCGCGGGAGGAGGTGAGGAGCAGGACGCGCCAAGGGAGAGGCGTTCTCTTTTCGGGGGGGCCCTTCTCTGGGAGGAGCGAGCTCCCCATCACCACTTGCAAGTTTGCTGCTGCCAGGGAGGGAGGACGGGAGCCACTTTGGACCCGAGGAAGCCGGAGAGTCCTTGTCCTTCCCTCCTTTATGAAACGCCGCGTCTTCATCCTCCTTTTCGGCAGAGACCGACTGCGGAGATTTTGACGTCAGGGGCCCCCTTTTGGATGGCGTGGCCTGGAACGCCCCGTCCTTCTTCCCCGCCGCCTGGGGTCCTGCTCTGCCCGGGAACCTCGGGCGGGCATAGGGGTGGGGGATGCTGGGCTGGCCTGGCCGCAGGGAGGAGCCTGGCGGCCTGCGGAGGTCACCGCTGTCCCCCTCCACCAGGTGGTACTTGGAAAGCGACCCGGTGGCGTCCTTGGCACTGGCCGCAGGGGAGGGCGCTCGGGCACCCCCAGCCTCTGTGTCTGTGCTGTCCTCGTGGCTCCCTCCAGGTCTGCCCTCAGAATGACTGTTCTGGTTCTGGGGAGACGCAGGGAGCACCCCTCGGGAGCTCGCCGTCAGAGGGTACCTGCCGCCGGCAGCCGTGGAAGGGTCAGAGAAGGAGTTAGCGTTTTCCTGTGATGTGGGGTGTGGGTGTCCTGCCTGGGGGTGCGCATGCTTGGCTCTGGAAGGCAGGTGACCCCCTTCCTTGCTGCGGGGACGGTGGGGCTGTTGCTCTGACACGGAGGCCCGCAGGGGCGGCTGCCTTTCGGGGGTGCTTGCCCTGACAGCCAGGCCTTGGCCAGGGGTCTTCTCTTGGAGCACGCTGGACCCCAGGTGGGGCTGTGACCCCGTGGCCGATGACCGAGCAGGGGACAACTGCGTTTTGGGAGACCCGCCCTCCAAGCCCTCCTCTGTGCTCTGTTGAGCATCCTGTGCCTTTGGGGGTAGAGATTTGCCCCCAGAATGCGAATGCGCACCAGCCCAAGTCCCAGCCAATTTGGGGTTCTCTGTGAGGGGTTCCTTCTGTTGGAGGCTCGTTCCTCTCTGAAGGCCCCTTCTGGGCGGGTCCTGGCCCCGGAAGGCAGGCTGGCTGGCGGAGGAAGACCCGTGGTCCAGCACCATGGTGGCCGGAAGTGGCATTTCGTCTTCCGTGTCCCTCGTTTCGCCGTCTCCATGGACACCAGAGCCACGCTGGTGGTCGGAAGCTGGAGGAGAATTCGCCCTTGAGTGAACCCTGGTGGGCACGGTGGACTGTGGGGAGCTAGAGGGCTGTAGCCGAAGTCCTCGGCCGTTGCCAAACCTGTTTGGATACCTGCCGTGGGCAGCGAAGGGCCTGTTTCTGGGTACACTGACATGTCCAGAGGCAGGCGGGCCTGCGGGCAGCCGGGCCCGAAGCGTCGAGGCCGTGGCCTCTGCTGGCCTCCCTTTACCGTCTGCGGCGCCGTGGGAGGCGCCTGCTCCCTCCGAGGCCCGTGTCATGGAGGACAGACGCGGGGGTGCCGAGGAGGCGCCTGGGGTGTGGTGGCCGTCCTTCCCACCCCCTGTGAGTGGAGCCCGGGGGTGCGGTTGCGTGGGCGGCAGCCGGGATGACCCCTGGGCTGGAGACAGTCTTGAGGGGAGGGCCGGAGCACTGGGCTTGTCCTCTCCATTCCTGGCAGAGGGCGTCCTGCGAGCCGGCAAGGCTGGCCTCGCACTGTGGTACCCCTGGCTCCGGTCTCGCAGGGCCGGCCGGGAGTGGACGGCCAGCTTGGGAGGCTGTGGAGGGGCAGTGTCCTTGGGGTGGTGGGAGCTGGCGCCTGGCTCTTTCTCCTCTCGGTCCAGCGAGTCATTGTCAGCCACGCCGGCAGGCAGGTTGGCAGAGGGGTTCCCCGAGGGGCGGTGAGCACTGCCCTCCACGCGGGCGTGGGGGCCAGAGGAGGCGGGTTGTCCTGAACGAGGGTGGGAGACCAGCGGGGGGCCGTGCGTGTCCATGCCTTCCTTCCTGGACACCACTGGGGGCCGGCCTCTCGCTGGAGTCCTTCCAGGGTCAAGGGCAGAGGGGTCAGATCTACTTGGTGGCTTCTGGAGTAGGGTGCCCCTGGGCGTGGTCGGTGGGGAACCCGGGGAACCCAGCCTCTCCTCGTTGGTGATTTCTGTGGACTGAAGATCTAAGCCTTCTGCCCTAACCTTAGGCCGAAGCTGGGGTTTTCTGGGTACCCCACCATTAATCAGTATTTTGTTCTTCAAATCAAGAAGGGGGTTCTTGATATTTCTGCCTGGAGGAGAAGCGGGCTTTTCAGGTTTCCACTGATTTTCAGTGTCTGCTTTCTGTCCAGCATCTGACTCACTCGTGCTGGCTGTAACAGATGTTAAAGAATTTGCCGTCAAAGAAGAAAGTGCAAACCACACACTGTGCACCAGTTAAGATGGCGGCGTGAGGACGCGTGACACTGGCGCTGTGACCGGTGACTTTGCATCTATACTGTCCCAGTGCCAGCAATCTCTTACAGCGCTACCTGGCGCTAAATTCATAAAGTCCTAGAAATACATGTCTGTTGAGTCTCTTTAATTTGGATCAGGTTATGCCACAGCTTATTGTTTGAAAAATTCTAAAAGGAGGACTTGGAAGTGACCCACTGACTTTGTGAATGCACACTCGTAGGTAGAATTTTCTCAATAGAGCAAATGCTCATGATATCACAAATGAATCACAGCCGTTTGAACAACCTAGGCTGGAAGTGAATCTGAGACTGCTACAAAACGCTGGACGATCTATGCTCAAAGCTACACGGCGTGCTGTGAGCAGCCAGGGAACAGGGTGAGCAACAGCTCTGTACATTTTGAGGCGCTCTAAGGAGCCCCCCTAACAGGTTCTCACTTACTTAAAGTCCCCTTAATGAAGGGGATTTTAATTTCAAAGTGCAACCGAGGATAAAGGGTCTCCAGGGGCAGGAGGGCTTTTGTTGTATTAAGTGTGCGCTGCACTTTGCCTTTCCGGAGAGCAGGTAGCTGGGAGGAGACTTCGGTGGGAGCGGAAAAATCAGGTAACGGGGCTCAGAAGGGGGAGCCTTCATTGATTTCAGTTTTCCTAGGACAAAACGGTTTAATCGCGCAGTGGGCTGTGGGTGCCCACCGCACAGGGGTATGGATGCAGATGCCGGCATCTGGGATAAACGTGGGGACCCCCGGCCGAAACTCAAGGGCTGTCTTCAGGTTCCTGGACCAACTGGATTTTAGTTGTAGCAGCTCAGTGTGGCTATTGAAATGCTTCTGAGTAAAACTGTACCCCCAAATCACGAACATGCTTAATGCTATTTAGTAGTTGACAAGAAGTGTCCATTAAAATGGTCACATCATATGTGTAAAAATGTGCTGTCCCTGTCAACATGATCCCACGTTACTCAGAATCCCATCATTATACAGCGATGCTGCTATAATAGCGAGTAAGGTTATGCACAACCCATTAACATCTTAGTCTTCAGGCAGGCTAATTTCTAAAGAGACTCCTAAAGTTTCAATGTCCAAACTTAGCTCAAAAAGTCATCCACGGAATAGTTCTAATCCGAAGAGCATGATTTAAAGTAACATAGCAATGAGCAGTCACGGAGAGCGCAGTGAGAACCACAACACACAGTGAGAACCACAACACGCAGTGAGAGCCACAGCACGCAGTGAGAACCACAACACACAGTGAGAACCACAACATGCAGTGAGAGCCACAGCACGCAGTGAGAACCACA